TTTATTGGTTGATGAATCCGTTTCTTAATCTGAGGGCCTGCAGTCCACCAGGCCCTGTGTTGGGTCCCTTGGGGGACAAAGGTGCTAAGACCTGATGCCTTCGCTGGAAAGACACCTGAACACTGGAAAAGAAAAAGTGATGCTTTGTTTTCTCAGAATTGGTGTTGGAGAGAGGCAAGACTTAGAACACCTAGAGAGAAGCAAGAAAACTTGAAATCAAAATGTAGTAGAAACCACTAGAGCCTGAAAACAAGGAAGGCCTGAGGACAGGATAATGTAATCAAAACAGTGGGTGAAAAAGGCTTTCTTCCATGATCCAGGTGTCCGCACCCAAAACACAGTGGAGAATTGAGGCCTGAATTTCCCACGCAATTGGCCCAACTCTCAACAGTGAGGAAATGATCAGCTTGGGCCAAGTAGTGTATAAGACAAATGTTAAAAGGAAAGCCCCAGCCTCCTAGGTTTATGTAAGGCCATTGTAAGCCTCAGCTTTTTCTCATTTTAAAATCAGAAATAATTATACCTATATATTAAATTGTTGTGAGGATTTGACATATTGTATATAAAATAGCTTGCATCATGTCAGGGTCACAGTTGTTGCTCAATAAATGCTCTCTGTTGTTTTTGCTGCTGTTGTTGCCTGTAGGTAAAATTAAATGCAGTGATGGCAGATCCTATGGATTGGCTCATTCAATCTTCATTTTACCCTCCTTTTGTTGTAACTTCCAGCACTGCCAAATCTATGAAACTCAGAACTACATTTCCCAGACTTCTTTACTTTTAGAGTTCTGGATGCCACTTAGGTTCTACCAGTTAGAAGCAATGATGTTAAGATTTGGAAGATGGAAGGGGGTGGAGGCCGTCTCCCTCTAACTATTTCTTCTGGCAAGCAAAGTCACAAAGGCACGAGTGTCAAGGGGCAGCAGGAGCTGTGGTGGCAGCAGCTGCTTAACCTCCAGATCACGCTGGCTGCAGTGGTTTGCTCTTGACATCAATCAGGCATGGGGAGTGGGGTCCCAATTTCAGTCCTTCAGCCTTCCAGGGACTTTGTTAGCATCTGATTCCTGTATTAGGTCGTTTCTGCTTAAAATACCCTAGGGTGATGATTCTTATTTCTAGAACTGAATCCTGACTGATCCAGAAATGGATGTTTTCTCTAAAGAAATGCCACACATCTACTTCTGTGAAAGAATATATTTCATGCTGCTGCCTCAAACTTGCTTAAAGTTATTAGTTGATTTCCATGTTTAAACCAGGTCAGTGTTCTCGTTGATACCATTCTCTTTGAAAACTGAATATAACACAACTAAAGTTCTCTGGCATCCTGAACAGTTAATTCTGTATTTGTATATCATGTTGAAAAGCAGAGTATATGTTTGTGGTGATCATAACCCATGCACTGTCTTTCTTTATACTTTACTTGGTTAAAAACAAACTGATCCTTGAAACAATTTTGCCTCCTGATATCCATTCTTCCTTCCTTAGTATTAAGAATCCCAATTTTTGGCTGAGGACACAGCTAACCAGCTAAAATTTATTTCTGTTCTCCCTGTAAGCTAGATGTATTGTCTGTTCTCACACTGCTATAAAGAACTACCTGAGACTGAGTAATTTATGAAGAAAACAGGTTTAATTGACTCCCAGTTCCCCAGGCTGTACAGGAAGCATGGCTGGGAAGCCTCAGGAAACTTACACTCATGGTGGAAGGCCGAAGGGGAAGCAAGCACCTTCTTCACATGCTGGCAGAAGACAGAGAAAGCAAAGGGGGAAGTGCCACACACCTTGAAACAACTAGATCTCATGAGAATCCACTCACTATCATGAGAACAGCAAGGAGGAAATCTGCCTTCAATGATCCAATCACCTCCCACTAGGTTCTTCCCCCAACACTGGGGACTGCAATGCAATATATGAGATTTGGGTGAGGACATAGAGCCAAACCATATCATTCTACCCCTGGCTCCTCTCAAATCTCATGTCCTCCTCACATTTCAAAACACCATCATGCCTTCCTAATAGTACTGCAAAGTCTTAACTCATTCCAGCATTAACTCAAAGTCCAAGTCCAAGGTTTCATCTGAGACAAGGCAAGCCCCTTCCACCTATGAGCCTGTAAAATAAAAAACAAGTTAGTTACTTCCAAGATACAATGGGGGTACAGCATTGGGTAAATGCTTCTATTCCAAAAGGGAGAAATTGGCCAAAACAAAGGGGCTACAGGTCCCATGCAAGTCCAAAACCCAGCAGGGCAGTCATTAAATCTTAAAGTTCCAAAATAATCTCCTTTAACTTAATATCTCACATCCAGGCCACAGTGATGCAAGGGGTGGGCTCCCAAGGTCTTAGGAAGTTCTAGCCCTGTGGCTCTGCAGGGCACAGCCCCCTCAGCTGTTTTCATAGGCTGGCATTGAGTGTCTGTGCCTTTTCCAGGTGCACAATGCAAGCTGTAGGTGGGTCTACCATTCTGAGGTCTGAAGGATGGTGGCCCTCTTTTCACAGCTCCACTAGGCAGTGCTGGGACTCTGTGTGGGGGTTCCAACCACACATTTCCCCTCTGCACTGCCCTAGTAGAGGTTCTCTGTGAGGGCTTTGCCCCTGCAGCAGACCTAAGTCTGGACATTCAGGAATATCCATACATCATCTGAAATCTAGGTGGAGGTTCCCAAACCTCACCTCTTGACTTTGGCACACCTGCAGGCCCAACACCACGTGGAAGCCACTAAGACCTGGGGATTGCACCCTCTGAAGACATGGCCCAAGCTGTACTTTGGCCCCCTTTAGCTATGGCTGGAGCTGAAGCAGCTGGGATACAGGGCATCATGTCCTGAGGCTGCACAGAGCAGCATTGCCCTGAGCCTGGCCCACAAAACCATTTTTCCCCCGTAGGCCTCCAGAGCTGCAATGGGAGGGACTGCCACAAAGGTCTCAGAAATGTCCTGGAGGCGTTTTTCCCATTGTCTTGGCTATTAATATTTGGCTCTTCTTTACTTATGCAAATTTCTGCAGCCTTGAATTGCTCCACAGAAAAAGAGGTTTTTTTCTACCACATGGTCGGGCTGCAAATTTTCCAAACTTTTGTGCTCTGCTTCCCTTTTAAATATTAGTCCCAATTTCAGACCATGTCTTTCTTCACATACGAGGGTACACTTTTAGAAATAACCAAGTCACATCTTGAACACTTTGCTGCTTAGAAATTTCTTCCGCCAGATGCCCTAAATCATCTCTCTCAAGTTAAAAGTTCCACAGATCTTTAGAGCAGGGGCACAATGCTAAGAGTCTCTGCTAAAGCACAGCAAGAATGACCTTTACTCCAGTTCCCTACTGGGGGTTCTTCATCTCCATCTGAGACTACTCAGCCTGGACTTCACTGTCAATATCACTATCAGCATTTTGGTCACAACCATTCAACAAGTCTCTAGGAAGTTCCAAACCTTCCCTCATCTTCCTGTCTTCTGAGCCCTCCAAACTGTTCCAATCTCTGCCTGTTACCCAATTATAAAGTTGCTTCCACATTTTCCAGTATCTTTATAGCAATGCCCTACTTTCTTGGCACCAATTTTCTGTATTAGTCCATTCTCACACTGCTGTAAAGAACTGCCTGAGACTGGGCAATTTGTAAAGGAAAGAGGTTTAATTGACTCACAATTCAGCATGGCTGGGGAAGCCTCAGGAAACTTACAATCATGGCGGAAGCGTGAAGGGGAAGCAAGAACCTTCTTTACACGGTGGCAGGAGAGAGAAAGTGTGAAGGGGGAAGAGCCATAGGCCTTCAAACAACCAGATCTCATGAGAAATCACTCACTGTCACAAAAACAGCGAGGCGGAAATCCACCCCCATGATCCAATCACCTCCCACCAAGTCCCTCCCCAAACATTGGGAATTACGATTCAACATGAGATTTGGGTGGGGACACAGAGCCAAACCATATCACTAGGCATACCTATGTGACTAAATGTTGACCAGTTTGATATAAGAAAAAGTAAGTATTTTGTGTAACTTCTAGGAATTGTCTACAGAAGAAAGGTGCAGACCCTTCTTTCCTCCTTCCTGCTTTCTGTTGATTGGAGTGTGGATGTGATGATAGGCACACTAACAGCCATCTTGAGTCATGAGGTGGCATAGTAATCATGGCACAACAGAAGAGAATGAGCTTGTTGATTGCGGAGCTGCCACATAGGCCTGGATTATGTACCTCCAGGTTTGTTTCACATAAGAAAAAAAAATGGCTGGGCACTGTGACTCGTACCTGTAATCCCAACATTTTAGGAGTCTGAGGTGGGAAGATCGCTTTAGCCCAAGGGTTTGAGGCCAGCCTGGGCAACAGTGAGACCCTGACCCTACAAAAAATTAAATTTAGTTTTAATTAGCCAGGTGTGGTGGCATGTGCCTGTAAGCCCAGCTACTTGGGGGGCTGAGTCTGGAGGATCACTTGAGGTCAGGAGGTCGAGGTTGCAGTAAGCTGTGATTGCACTACTGCACTCAGGTCTAGGTGACACAGCCAGACCTTGTCTTAAATAAAAAGGAAAAAAAATATATCTCTAACTTTTTGAAGCCACTGTTATTTTGTTGCTGTATTTTTATTATCTGTAGCTGAATCTACCCTTAATTAGCATAATGGTAACAGCCAAACTTCTTCCCTTCGCATTAACCATGGACTATTTCTCAGTTTCTAAAAACAAGTATATCCCCAAGATCTGCCTAACTGCTCAAACACAGTAGAGCACACTACTAAAAACACTGGCCTGGGTTTAAAGTTAAAGACATTAAAAGGATTTCACTGAGGCCAATTCAGTGTACACAGTAGTCAAGTTTGTAAGCCAAACAAATAACTTTGACTTACTCATATTGCTTTCAAAATCAAATGAAGGCACCAATTTTAGGTTGAGTGAAAGACAGGACCTCAGCCTTAGCTGATGAAACCATTAGGACTAAAGTTATTGATTCAAATGGCTGAGTTTTTTTCTAAACTGGCCCTCTGCTGTTCGCAGTGTGACCGCACCATAACTGAAAACACATCCAGTGGTGTAATCTGCTTTGCAGCTCTTTATTCCAGAGCCCATAGATCAGAGGGTTAAAACACTGGGCAAATGCAAAAACGCCAAAAACCACCAGATTCAAAGCAAAGAAAAATACCCCACACACCTTCCCCAAACCTATGAATATCAGGGGTGGTATGATATGTAAGCTTATCTGCACTAAATGAATAAGGACTGTTTTCTTTGCTTTGATATTTGACCTATTAAAATGGCCAGCCCATTTCCCTTTGTGGTATATCAGAGAGTAGCTTATAAGAATGACAGACAAAAGAAGGAAAATAAAAACCATGCCAGTGGCCCTGGCAGGAGTGCCGTTGAAGATCACAGGGCAAAGGGGTTCCGATTTTAAAACTGCAACCACAGTGGGTTTAGTGCCCTCTATGACGAACAAGCAAACATTCTTGAGTATAATGGTCATCCAAGTCCCAGCCAGAATCCTGTACTTAACTGAATCTACAAAGGACAGATATCTCAGTGGCCAGCAAATCGCCACGTAAGTGTTGAGAGCCATCAAGGCCAGCGTGAAGAGAATCCCATCTCCAACGCTCAGCTTGACTCCAAACACCACTCAGCATATCAGCAGGGGGCTGTTGGCCAGGAGTGCCCGCATTCCTTGGAAAATGATCCCCAGGCCACAGTAGGAAGAGATGCACAGCAGATGCTGGCAAAGAAGGATGTATCAGGCCTCTCCCCACAGCTTTGAATTCTGTGACACTATCGCCATAATGATGACAGTGATGACTGTGGCAAAGGAGAAGGTGACCACATAGACAGAGGCCTTCACTGTTGCTTCTAGCCTCAGCCAATCTGATATGTTGCAGTGCTCAGAAGACAGGTTCATGATCTTTGGGAACAGCTTGGCTCCTGGAGGAGAAAAGAACAAGAAAGAGTGAATCTGTGTTAAAGCTTCTTGTGGGGTTTTCCAGCTCTCTGGTCTTGTGTTCAGTCTCAAGGAACAGATTGAACATTCTTCAGTATAGAAGATGACAATTTTTGATAGTATTGATAGGGATCAAAGAAAGAGGAGAAACATCCTGGGTGTTCTTTATATTAATATTTCAGGAGAGGGACATATACACAAATTATCCACACACACACAAAGGTTTGAAAGATATACTCTTTGTACTCAGCAAATTGCTCAAATTCAGGTCAAGGTTTTACTCTTATCATCCTTTTCTATCTTTGATCGTGAGAGCCTTTTCAATTCCAAGCACAAAGCACAACATTATCAAACCAACTGATTAGTCACCAAGCCCTTGTTAACATTATGTACATGCAAAGGTCCAGGGAGAGAGTTAGGTCAAGAGCTGTGAGGAATGTGGGGAAGTCATTGACTTAGAGCTTTCAATTCGTTTAGGTCCATAGGACATGAAAGAGAGATTTGCAATAATGATAGTAATCATGGGTAACATTTACCGAGTACTTTCTAGGAATCAAAAACTGTTTTCAGAGAATATTTCTCACCATACCTGGGTGTTTTATTTCTCACCGAGTGGTTTTATTATGCGCTTTTCACAAGTGGAGAAATGAAGACTTAGAGAGGCTAAATCACTTGCTCAAGGCCATATGGTTATTGCATAGTGGGGCCAGGATTTGGATTTGGTGGTACAGCTCCAGCGCCTATACCCTTAGCCACTGCAAAGAAGCTAATGTCAAATGCAAGGCCAAATAAATGCGTTCTCTGAGTTCTCCCTTGGCCAGTGTCATTTGACCAGGTGACTGGACTCCATTTGTAGGAATATCATTTTTGTGCTCAAGAAGCTAGAAGACTGCATATCTAGGAAGATACTGGGATCTCGGGGTTGCTGAGGGAACAGGACCACCAAAATGATAAGCTGTGCATGGTAACTTCATAAAGGCTTCTCAAGTGTGCACAGCAATGCCACTGTGTGGCAGGCGGCCTGGGGGAACACCCAAATTATAGCATCATTGTTGTTGCCATGATAGTCTATAATGCAGATACTGACTGTTGCCTCCCCTTCCCCACCTATACCCCATCCAAAGGGATGTACCCTGTAAGCTTTTGCTGCCTTGCTCCTTCCTCCTTAACTACAGCATCACCTTCTCCCCCAGCAAAATTGATTGGCATCTGACTCACAGCAAGTCATTCACTAGACTGCACTGAGTCAGAGTATGTCTCTCAAAAACCCAACCCAAGGTACACAAAGAATGTAGTCAGACTAATGCCATGTAATTAGCCTGCCAGTCATGTTGTAAGCGGAAGAGACAGAGGGAGGTAGGAGACAAGCAGAGAGAAGTGAGACTATAAGGCCCCTGAGTGTCCACAAAGGTCCTTGCAAGAAGACAAAACAACCTTTGCTCCTGAATTTCCAGTTCCACTGAGATGCCCTGCAATTTCTGTCCTTGGATTCTGAAAATATAATATACCCCTCTATTATGTGAGCTATCTTAAATGGGTTTCTATTCCTTCACTCTGTCCTGTAGACTTCAAAGTATAAAAAGTGGGCCCTGAAGAAGCACAATAAATTATATTGATTTTCTAAAGGGCATATCACAATGGAGATACAACTATTTTAACTTCCCGAGAATCTGAAATGTCATAACTGTTTATGAAATCCCTCACTGAAAGCATAATTTCCCCCCGTGGGTATTGTGTTATCCCCTTTTTGAGGAGAACTTTCTTTTTTTGATGGATTTTTGGTGCCATTGTCTTGTTTTTGAACTCCAGGCATTTATTTTCTCTTCTCTCCAGCTCTTCAGAGAGGAACTGAAATCGTAATAGTCATTGTCATTATCAAAGTCATCATCTTTGAACTGCAGACGTCTTTCAAGGTCAGACTTTTTGATCAAGATCTAACACAAAAGCCTCTCAATATTAAGCAGGAAAATGCATATCTGCTCTCATTAAATCCTTTTTCCTTAATCGCTCACTCTCAGAGCACACCCTGAAACTGTCTTGGCACCACCATAGAAATAGCGCCCTAATGAAGACTGTATGAAAACCCTGGTAAGCTACAACAAATGCTCTGCCCCCGGACTAGAAGGATCACATGACTGCAGCTCGAAGCCTAGATCTGCTGCTAACAAGGACTGTGACTTTGGATATTGAAGTTGCTTTGCTTCTGTTGTCCCTGGAGCTGTGCAGCATCACCGGGCTCCACATCCTTTCTATTTCTACAGTCATCCTCACTCACATCCTCAAAGCCAACTCTGAACTTGGGCCCAGAGCATCTGCGCTTTTACTTTATCCCTGAGAACAAGATCACCCCTGCCCCAACCTCAAAACACCCGCATGATATTTCTCCACACCTGAGCCTTTTCTTGCTGACCTGGCTTTCTAGGACAGAGCCTGCCTTGTCGTGCAATGTCCCGTCCCCAGACCTGAAACCCAGCCTCCAACCCCCAGACACAGGGAGGTGGCTGCCGGCAGAGTCCACAATAGTGCCAGTCTCCCTGTCTGCTTGCGCCTCTTAACAACACACAATCCTGGGCTCACTGTTGCCAGTGTTGGCCCAGCTGATGGGTGACAGTCGCCATTATTTGGTCTTGCTCCTCACCCCCATTCTGCCCAGAATCCTAGTCATCTTCTGACGCATCCCTGCTGGATTTTTCATTTCTGCTCAAAAAGACTCCCTGCACCTGCATGGGGGCTCGCCACCCGCTCCCCACACCTGCTCCATTCCATTTGTCAGAACCCTCTGAGGGCCATGGGTTGGGCTTTGCCTAGCTGTGTTCCAAGACCTGAAACCCTCCATAGGGCATGCAGTGGCTACAATGTGTTTGTTACGATAAAATTTTTAAAGTTTTTCTTTTTTCCCCTTGAATTACTGCAGATGCAACTATAATAAAAGCTAAGCCCCCAAACCCCCTCCCTCTGGATCTAAAATGGTTTCAGGGAACTATTCATTGTTGGGACCAGCAGGGACTAGTTCCTGTAGTTTTCTAATATGCTTAACACATTAATCAACATGACACATTGTTTCATCACTGTACTCCACCAACCTTTATTGAGCACTGAAACATAGAATGCATAATCCTAAGCAGTGAGGTTATAAGGCAGTAAAACAGTCACTGAGCCCGGGTGCAGAGGCTTACACCTGTAATCCCAGCACTTTGGGAGGCCAAAGCAGGCAGATCCTTTGAGCCCAGGAGTTTGAGACCAGCCTGAGAAACGTTGCAAAACACTGTCTCTACAAAAAATAGAAAAATTCGCCAGCTATAATGGTGCACACCTGTAGTCCCAGTTACTGAGAAGGCGGAGGCAGGAGGATCACCTGAGCCTAGGAAAGTTGAGGCTGCAGTGAGCCATGATTGTGCCACTGCACCCCAGCCTGGGCAACAGAGTGAGACCCTGTCTGAAAAAAAAAAAAAAAGTTGCTGACATACAGAAGCTTATTGTCCAGTGGAAGATGCAGAATATGATATAGTTAGATAACCAAAACATCATGTATAGTTTTACCCACTTACCAAAAGAATAAGAAAGCCAGGTGTGCTATGGGAGAGTAGTTCAGAAATAAAAGGAATCAGATCACCGTGGTCTGATACAGTCAGAGAAGACATCCTGGAGGAGGTGAGGCTTGAATCAGGCCTTTTGTGGATAAAACCCAGAGCAAAGCAGGGTCAGTGGTGAGTTGGGGAGAGGAAAGGAGCTGTGCAGATTCCAGGCAAAGGTAAACCGTGAGAGCCAAAGTGAAACCATACTTGGTATGTTCAGGGGACAATGAGTACATATCTGGGTTTTGTGACAGTAAGGACTTGTTTAGAGCGCTAGGGACAGACTAAGGCCAGGACCAGATCTGGAGGACCTTGACACTATTCCAAGGGTTACAATCCATGTTGTAGGCAGTAAAGAGACTTGAACAATTAAAATTAGGAGCAGCACATGCCACGGATTAAGAGCCAGCATGAGATGCCCACCTGTGCATAGTGGCATTTGATATGAGCTCTGGCTGCAGAGAAGGCAGCCCAGCAAAGGAGAAATTTGCACAGTGCAGACCATACTACCATAGAAAGTGGCTCAGAATACTTTTTGTACACGTGGTATCTCCAGGAGGGTTGGTTATCTGCAAAATCATTGAGGTCAGGTTTCATTGCCTTTAATTTATGTATACGACCTCAGGAAGATTAGTAATTTATTCAGTATCATACATGCAGAAAGACTCTCCCAGTCTCCAAATTAACATTTCTTCTCAGAAGCATATTTGCATAGATTAAGCGCTTGTGGCAACCAAACTTATATAATTAGCTCCCATCTATCCATGTTTACTCCACTTAGCCACATGCTTGGAGCCTTCTTCTTCTGAAATTCTAAAATGGGAAACACCTGCTTCCTTCTGGCCCAAAATGTTACTTTGGTTTCAGCTTTGAAATAAGACCCTGGAGCCAAGAGACTTCAGCAAAAACTTATGTGATATCCACAAGTGCCCTGACAAAATAAGAGGCAGCCACTGCCGTTCTCTGCAAAAGTCCTGTTGGAAGCAGATGTGTGTTAAGGACTGGCCCAGATTTACACAAGAACAATGAGGCCTGCGAGGTCTCCTTGTAAGAGCCCTGTGGGCAACATGTCACCCTCTGAGAGAGTCTGAATATACAAACACATATGACCAGACCACATATGAAAATAGAACTTTGACTCACAACCTGCAGCACCCAGCCCAGGAAACCAACCCTTATCTCCAGTAACCACCTAGGAAGCCAGCCTGATGTAAGTCAGACTTGTAGGAGTCAGACTACTATCTCCAGTGACAATCCAGGAAGCAAGTAATAGCCCCTGTAGTAATCCACCCCCAAGGGCCAGGACTTGATTAATAACTGACAGCTTTCCTAAATCCAAACTTCCAACTTAGGGCCCTCCAGAGAAAGCTAATTATGCTCCCCTAG